ACCACAGTGAATTTTTAAGTGTCACCAATCATTAGAAAAATGGAACTTAACCGAGAACATTTTCGCGCCATAATTTATTACAACTTTCAGAGACAATTATCGCAACAAGAATGCCTTGCTGAGTTACTGTCTGTTTTCGGCAACGAAGCGCCACGTCAGTCGACAATTTCTCGTTGGTATGAAGAATTCAAACTTGGACGGGTGAGTCTTAGCGACGATCTCAGGGTGGGTGCACCAAAAACGCCAGTCACCTAGGAAAAAGTCGATGTTGTGCGCAAACTTATCATTGAAGATAGACATGTGACATAACGCGAGATTGAGGCGTCCTTGAGGATCTCAAAGACCTCAATTCAAAAAATTTTACATGAAGAATTAGGAGCAGGAAAATTAGTTTTACTCGTTGGATACCCCACCTGTTCACTGAAGAGCAGAAAGCAGACAGGGTTAATTGGTGTCAAAAAACGCTTGACCGTTTCAATTCCGGAAACTCAAAAAATGTGTACAGCATTTTTAGTGGTGATAAATCGTGGATTTACTGTTATAAACCAGAAAATAAACTACAGTCGGCTGTTTGGGTGTTCCAAGGTGAAGAAAAGCCAACAAAAGTCATCCGTTCTCGAAGTGCTTCGAAAAAGATGGTCGCGACAAAAAATTGTTACTGCGGATTAGTATACCACCATTTGTTTGCTAAAAGTCATCACCGAGCTTAGAAAAATCAACCCCGAAAAAAGAATCATCCTCCACCAAGACAATGCAAGCTCGCACGTAGCCCAAAAACAAGGCAGTATTTAACGGAAGAAAACGTGGAATTATTCTACCATCCTCCATATAGTCCCGATCTAAGTCTTAACGATTTCTATACTTTCCCGAAAATTAAAAACAGACTGCGTGGCCAAAGGTTCCAGTCACCAGAAGAAGCAGTTGACGCATTCGATTGGAATAAGTGCTTCGAAAACTGGTTCGAGCGCATGCAGTTGTATATTAATCTTCGTGGAGAATACTTCGGAAAAGAATAAAGTCATTTAAAACTACCTACCGTGTTGTTTGATTTCCATACGCGAAACTTAAACGACATCCCTCGTATTATAATATTTAAACATGTTGTTTCACATGTGGCCTCTAGAGGGCATTTTTTCGACAGAAATTATTAATTTTCTGAAAAATTTAAATGTACTGGTATGCATTTTTTTTATGAAAAGGTATCTAAATGATGTATAAACCAGCTTGCAAAAACCGTACCTTGATATCCTGTTCCTAACCTAAAATTTAGGACAAATAAAATTTTATACGGAAATCCCTTGCATTTTAATTTACTTGAGTTAATTTTCCTGGAATTATTTTCTACTCATCAGAATAAAATCAGCCTTTTTGAAAATATTACAAAATATCGCTAAACGGAAAGTAGGAAATGCCAATAACAAAAGGCATATTTTTTGTTTGAATGCATATTCACTGTGCGTATATCCGAAAAAGACAGTTAATAGAAACAGGCCATGGAACCAAAACAAATACCTAGTCAAAACATATATAATCCTCAAATTCTCAATAGTTGTCAGTAGTTTCGCGTTACTTTAAGTATTATTATGCATTTTACGATCGATGAAGCTGCTGATATGCTTGCAGTTTATCTGAACCTCTTCAGAAAAAGAGTTTACGCGTCTCGATATCCAAATCGGCGCCAATGGTAGTTTTCGGCCTACGCTTCAACGGCAAAGAATTGGAAGAAGACAAGAAAATATTAACCGCGTACCAGGATATATTGAAGGCAATCCTCATGTTAGCGCAAGGACATTGTCCCTTGAGTTGGGCATATCACGAACAACAAAATATTTTGAACGACTATAGGTAGGTTCTAATAATGGCCATCAAATTATAGGAATTTATTTAAATTTAACGCTCTTTAATCACTTTTAGAATGCATCCATAATATGTCGTTTTGCATCAGGCATTGAAAGAGGAGACTTTGAACGGAGGTTGTACCATTGCCATTGGATGTTAGGCATGATACGCGAAATTAGAGAATTTTGATTTCAAACAAGCTGACCCGACAGACGTGGTCGTGTCTTAACTATAAAACTGGGATGGATAATTGTGGACACACAACGTTCACTGGTCCAATAGCAATGGCTTGTTGTGAACTGTAATCGATTGCCACGTCATAATTTTATTTAATTAAATGCGACACTTCTACGTTGTGGAAACGTCCTTATTGACTACACCTGATGCCCTAGTGGGAAACCTTCCTTCTAACAGACCCTCTAGGGCCTTGTGTCATGGGTCCAGTATACCTACATTACGTTCTATAAAGGTTTGATGATCAGTTCTTAAGTTATAAGGGATCCAATTTACGACGATGCTCAATTTGACACCCGCCAGTCCGTCATTTTGAAAAATCTTGTGATGTGGTCAAAGTGTCCATAAGGAGCTCTAAAATAATATTAAACTTTATCCCAAATGAAAAGAGATATTTTTGAAGCGCCACTTTTACTCTACAATACAGTATTAATGCATCAACTTCACCATACCGAATTTCAACTTGCTCACTTGGCTCGTCCAACGAGTAATTGAGGGGGCAATAATTGTTACAAAGAGAACTGTAATGGTACAACTACCTGTGTCACCCGGTATTTTGCTATAAATATCAGCCATGCCATTCTTGATATTAAAATATAATGTAGGCTGTCTCGACGTTTTCTTATTAAGTAGTCGGAAAGCTCACGAAATGAGAATATTCGTAATTCACTTCGCATAATCTTCCACCGGGCGAAAGAAGCTCCGGCAAACCGTAAACTCCAACTATACGACCGCGACCTTTAGGAAAAAACTCCATGGAATATACGATCGGGGCTTAGTCCCCGCCCGATAAGCCTCACATAATGAAACACGTAAACAAGCCGATTCCGTGGCTGCCTCAGAAGAATAGCCCATTCGGTTCCAGACGGCAGAAACACGTATCTCTAAGCTGCTACCGGGATTTCGGTAGATATGTGTAAATGACCATGGAATGTTATTTGCTGTAACTTCATTGGGGTTTTTAGATTTTTACGAATAGAATTTTACATGAACAAAATACTTGATTTTGAAGCTTGTAAGCGGGACAGGCATAGTTATTACAAGGTTCCTATTTCAGCTCACCAGTGCCATAACACTAAGAGTAAAGACCTCCATTTTGTTACTGATTTTGAAAAAAATAGCGTCAAGTAGGCTGGCTTTGCAGTTCCCACGAAACGCATCAGTTCATAAAGGATTATGTTCGGATAAGCTATCCGCACCAACAGAAAAGTTATAGTTACAGTCACCGTTCTTGGCGGCTACGTCATAAATGCCATATGAAATAAGTATGCATAATATAAAATCTATGTATATTTGTTTTGTTCGAGACTAATTGTATTTACAAATAAACATTATTGTTATTATCGAGTCTCCGTACCATGGGCGGATCTGGTCGTGATATGTTGGCCTTTACTTCTCATATCATAGGAAGTATTCCTAATTTCTATTTTGACGGCATCGGTCTTGCATTTTTGGATTTTGTGAGTTTCCCCAGCTGTTACTATGGGGAAACCTGTCTTATTTTCTGATTTTATTTGCTGGATGCTGCGCAGACTAATCTTCGGCGCATCTGCTACTCTCTCCAGCACGCATGAAGTGGGTAACAGGGAACCGCTGTTTTCATTCTCTTCCTGGAAGTAAATTTAGCACGAACTGTCAGGTTTCTCCATTTATCGTATTCCCGGGCATCGTACAATTTTATTTTGAAGACATAACAGGACAACTTAAATTGCATGTCGATGTCAAGTAAGTCGTTACTCTGACAAATGTGATTGCAGTGCGCTTTTACGTATAGGCAAAGTTTTTGAGACGGAAAATAAAAAAAAATGGGCGAACCTTACCCACACATGATTTGAGAATTAGGTGCAAAAATCACACCCCTAATAAACTAGACAGGCCCATAAATTAAAACAAATGCCGTGTGCTTGGGGTCCCAATATATTTCTCGCTCATAGTTTTTTACACTGAACAAGAATTTGAGATCATTCAAGAAATTGAGGGCCGCTGGATGATTAAGAAAGTAAGTCAGACGTTAATATCACTCATTTCGGCATTATTTGTCTCCTCGAGAGATGAACATTTGCACATCCACCAAAAATACATTTTTAATTCTGCTGAATAAATTACTTTCTAAAATTTGTCCATCGTCCCCCAGACTCCAGATTCATGTTCAACGTGAGCAGGTTGAGACCACTGCAAGCTGTTCAATTTATGGGACTAAAAGAAACAACCTGTTTATCCAAACTCGTGAGCATAAGACCGAATTTGGATCTTACCTCTGAGAAAATATATAGATGCAAAGGCTGACTTGTAAATCTCTACGAATAATGATGGAAATTTCAGCGTTAGGCAAGAACTTTTTCCACTATCATATAATTGTGCACAGAGATGTGTGACGCGAGGTTCCTAAGTTGCTATTTACGATTGGAAATAATGGAATATAAAAGAATCCGGAGTCAATGATGTCAGTGGACTGCTTTAAGAGAGGGGTCCGATTTACGCATGTTTTCAAATGAAGAGTATTTATTCTTAAATTTGTGTAATCATTGCGGGAACTATGTACATATTATATATGATCTTTTTAAAACATCAAGTTTTGTAATGACACGCCTTGATTTATTTTTACATTCCGCTTCAACAGCAAACGATTATTCTTCTTTCCAATGACAACCTGAAAACTCGCCCCCATTTACCGCATTCTTTTAAGACGAGGCTTCCTTCTCACCCTTGTCGTGGTAGTAGAAGTAGTAGTAGTGCGGAGGCGAACCCTGCCAACTAGGCCATCTTTTTACCAACTCTGCATTACCAACAGTGTACTACTTCACAAGCCATCTACGGGTAACTAATACAGTAAGCCAGCTGCAGCTATGATATGTACCTATCGCCAATGTTGCACCCACCTGTGTGATATAGACAACACAATTCAAAATCCATAGCTCGGAACTAAGCATCCAAGGCGGAGATTCGAACCCACGAGCCTCGGGTTGCTAGCTCGACGCGCCAACCACCGAGCTACCGAGGCTGCCCTAGATAAGTATCCAGATAAGTGTCTATTCACGTTACACATTTTTAAACATTACAGATAACTGTTGTTCTTTATTTTATGAATGAGGCTATTGTTGGTTGTTAAACGTATTTATAATATCATTTTGATCGGGAAACGAACGATACGTCGAGGTACGTAACATTCTCTTTGTCACACTCTACCATGTATCGGCAGCGCCCATTTCCTACGCACCGTCCTTTGATGTAGACCTTATCATCAACTGTTGCAGAACATTGAGGAAGTTCTTAGACATGGGATGTTGCAAATATTGATCAAAATTGAACATGGTATACACGGTGTCGCCACCTAAATATTTCGAAAACTGTGCATTCTGCAAACAAAATTCAAACGGAAGTGAATGTCCTTGACTGCGACCTTTAAGGCCCTTTCAATGCCAAATCAGTACGTCGAAAACTATTTGCTCCAGCAAAAATGTTCAACAGCCCAGCTATGGCTGGACTAGGACCTTGACCATGACCTATAAGCTCAACTCAAAATTTCCAAAGTAAGCCTCTCATTTTTATAATGGAACTGGAAAAAGTAAAATCCTTTACGTCCAAGTGTGGCATTATCCTCAAATGTCATTTAAGCTTAACAGGACTTTGACTTTGAGGTCAATGTAACTTTCCGTCGTGCAATTCCATCTTTTCGCCATTTCCAGTATAAAAATTAGAGGTCTTGACTTGACGCTGAAGCTCATAGTCGAGGTCATGGTAACGGTCACCTATGGGTAATCTCAACAAACCTCACATCTATGCTGTCTAGTACTTTTGCTAGAGCACATTTCTGTGGCCTTGATTTGACCTTGGCCCAGAAGGTAGTGGTGAAAATATTCACTTGACTTCGAAAGGATCTTATACATGGTAGACGAGATCATTGGCAAGGGCACAATCATTTTGCCCCTCCCAAAAACATCAAAAACTGTTGTGAAAGTTTTTTTCCGGAATGCAGTTTTCGAAATATGAAGGTGGGAGACTAAAATAAAACCTCAGTGGAGATGGCTGTTATTGTTCTAGCACATTTATGTGGACAATAATGGCATACTTGTCCATTAAGGTATGTATTAAACCATTTCAATCACGTAATCATCTGCGTAAACAGCATGTGTGAAAATCATTGTTTACCTGTCTTGATGGTCTATTCCAGAAGACTAACCATACGATTTAACATCGATTAGTCTCAGAGCGGCAAATGAAACCGATAATACCGCACTATTGGGGCATTCAGAGAGAGAAATGAAGAGAAAATGAGGAGGATGCAGACAGATGTCCGGCAACGGTCCAATAAACGGTATCATTATTACATTTAATTTTCAATCAAGGCAAAATCGAAACTCCTCCGCCAATAATTCGTGGGTTTCGGTTGCAGTACGACGAGATGGGATGGTAAAACTTCGATATCTCAATCACGTCACTCCAAGAGTAATGTACGTGCTTCTACGGTAAAAGGAGCGTCATGACTTTGCAACGCGTGCACCTCCTAATTGGATATCAGTGTTGGATAAGCTGTCGAGATGTCAAATCCATCATACAGAAATTCATGAATTAACAACAATGGAAGTAAAAGGGTGCATGATCCAAATGGCTACCTGACTCCATTTAGCAGGTGCTCTAATTCTATAGAACGAACCATAATGGTTCCAAATAGAGCAATTAGGCCCTATTTGTGATTGAATATTTGCACGGACACTCCACAGTGATCTGCATAATTGAAGTCTACATTCTTGAACAGTTTTTTGTCATGGTTGCCTTACCGGACCCCGTACAAAACATAATTATGGAAAATCCGTTTCAGTCGATTTGACTAAAAATTCGGTATGATATATTTCTTGCCTCCCCAGATAATAGTTGATTCCTTTGACTAGTTTCTGAAAAACCAGAGGCAACGATGTTTGACCAAGTTGTTTTAAAAAAAGGTGTATCTGCTAAAACTAAAACACTGAGAATCAGTATAATGAAAGAAATATTTCATTAAAGCCCGGAGACAAGGTAAATTTAAGGGCATCATTGTCCTACCTGAGACCAAACCTAACTCTATGCTGATGAGCTGCCAACACGACGAAACACCTCTCCATGGTTGTCATTTTACGGTATAAGCTATATTTCTATTATGTTCAATAGAACAGTACACTGGTCAAGGGCATAGAAAGGTCATTGTTGCCTCCTCGTTTTTGGTTATGATCTCTACAAGGTCAAGTCAAGGCGCTGTTTATTTTGAAATTGAAAGAGAAAGCGTACAAGTGTGAACGTTGTTGTCATTTATCCATCTCCTTTAGACTGGCCAACAAAAGAAACAACAGTTATTGAATGGTCTATTTTACTGACGTTTAAGTTGGCTTGGCAGCCTTTTCCAGTGCAAATCAAATGGATAACATAAGTTTAGGAAGTTGATAATTAATTGGAACATATCTTCAGCTTAATCATGTCCGTTTTCCGGGCGACAGAATTCATTTATTCTTGCCACGGATGTCGATTATTACGTGATCTTCTACTATAAGTATTGCACTTGCATTGTTCGTGAGTTCAAAAAGCGATTAATTGTACTTCGATACCTCAAAGACATGACGTTGTTGGAGGTGATATCTACAAAGAGAATTAGCTTACGTTTTAGAAACCCAAAAAATTATCAACTTAGGATATGTTACTTTCAAAGCTTTTAAAAATAACGAGGATCATGTAATAATTAATGGGCATTATTGTAAACAAAAGTAAATCTGGCGCCCGAACACTAAGTTACTGGGGTCATTTTGACAAGCTCTCCATGAGACTGGAGGGTGCTATCCTGCGAAAAATTTCACCCAAACCCTTTGATATGCCGGAAGCAAACCAAGACAAGGAAACTAAAATTAATAGTTAATATATTACAATCCCATATAGCTATGTTCACGTTAGTGAGTTTTTCTTCCTTTTTCGGCTTAAGACCAATATGTCCTTGAATTTCCATAATGGCAAGTAAGCACCTACCACTTTCCCGTGCTTTTGTGAGCGAACTGTCCATTTGAAAGAATGTTTTTGAATTCTCGAACAACTCGTGCATAAATTGGTTAACATGAACATGGCACATACCAACATCATCCAACAAGACGTTTAAATGAAATATTTCTTTCAATATAACAAATTTCCGAGATTCTGTCAAACTGCATACCCCATTTTACAGAGACTGGTCATAAGATTACTCTGGTCCCACGACAGCATTTGTTTAGGAATGCTAGAAATATATTATGCTGAATTTTTAGTCAATTAGACTGGAACCCATTTTCTATATGCTTTGTGCCGGGCCATGACAGAGATTGTATGCGCGAAGCGATACGGCGCCCATTGCGTCGAGCAATAGCATCATTTTGGCCGTTGTCCAAATGTCCTGTGCGTTGCTAAAACAAATCGTTTGTTCCTTTAATAGATAGTGACACAATATATGCACTGAGGTCTCCTGATGATCTGTGCAGACTCGATATGTGGCCTCTTCTGCTATACCCAATAGCGTCATATGTGGATATATAGGCAACCATGAACTGTCAAGAGACCCACTATGGTCCTTGCAGTCTTCCTAATGAATCCAACCAAATCTTCTCCTACTAAAGTATTTCATTCGTTGATGAAATGTTTGCCTTTCCTTTTATTCTGAACTGCCGTTTTATCATTCTAGCGACTTTTACTTGGTTTAATTTTTTAAGGACTGCCATCGTGATGCTACAGAAAGGCTATGAACCAATTAGTCGCATCTTTTCGAGCTAGCTGATCCGTCTTGCCGTTTCCCAGCTCTTTGAGGATATTCACGCAATTCTGTACACTAGTTCAAGCAATATCTGCGCCAAACTTAATCCCTTAATGGCTGCCTGGTTGTCCAAGCAGATCGCGATTAGCTCATTTGCAATGTTCTTCCTTAATAGCTCCCTGGGCAGACTTTTATGCCTATTACTTCAGCCTGATGTGTTGTTGCTGTAATACCCAGACTTGTAGGGGTCTTGGTGTTAGGCCTTGTTCCATAAAACCCAGCTCCAACGATTTCTACAGTTTTCAATCCGCCTGTATGCCAGGAGAGTTTGGCATGTCTAAAGAAGTATAAAACTGAAAAACGCGGTTTCTTTTTTACACTAATACATAGTGAATAAGTGCTGCTGTTTTAAGCGATATTACGAATTTTTTTTGTGTCCAGTAAGATGAACAAGAAGGACATGTATGCTGTCATAGATAATTGCACAGAAGAGATATCGAGTTTATAGTAATCTTTTCGTAATCCTAACAAGAACCTGTTACAAATCTGAGGTGATTATAAATGATTGTTATCTTTGTGAGTCAAGGACCATCGTTTCACTTCGTGGTACTATAAACTGTCTCCATATGTCTGTATAGATTGAACGCAAGGGATACGCTTACCCATCCTTCTCCTCTGAAATACAATAGGACAATATCCTTGAGCAAACCGAGCCAGCTGTATAGTAACAATCATCCACTCGTCGGTCGGTCTGTCTGTTCGCTTAGTATTGCATCCTCGATATACGCTCGCTAATTCGGCCTCCACCTCATTCGAAGCACCAAGTTGCGAATAGTTAAAGGATATAACAACTACTTCACTTGAGCGTTGGGTTCACAATGCTTCATTATCTCCGGGAGTTAAAAGTACTTGCCTCATATAAATTTCGGCGGAGGTTGCCCTTGCCGACACGTTGGGAAGCGGATACTTACGTTAAGGCGCAAACCTTTTTTTTTCAAAATGAAAATATGTTTGCCAAACGTATCACATACTTGAATCCACAATTTTAAGGTATTAATTTGAATCGGCTAAGGGTGCAAGGTACATTTTGTGGTGAGAAAACCTGCTACAATGGACAGTGAATCATAGTTCAAGGACCTGTCAAAGACTTTCCAAAATCAATGACGTTTGATCAGCCCACCTGGACACATTTCTTCGTCAGCAGCTTCAAGTATCTATTACTTAAGATTCTGTACTGTTCCTTCTTCGGAATGCGAGTCAAA